GGATCAAGCCCGGAGGCTATTTCGGAGCCCGGTCCTTGGCCACGCTCGGCCGCTCACTCACCTGAGGCCGCCATGTTGGGAGAGGGAGAGAGAACGCAAAGGACCCGGATGAGGCAATCACGTGATTATAGCGGGCGCGACGGGCTTGGAGACGCGAAACCAGGAGGGGGCGGGGAACGGAGGACGGAGGCAGGAGGAGGCGGGGCGCTGCCGTGCTGGGTTCGTAAAGCAGCGCGACGAGGTGGCGCGGCGTCCGACCGGAAGACCTGCGCGACATGTGGCCGAAGGGGTGGAGTCTGAGCTGTCGCGAAACCCTACGCTTTACGTTGGGCCCGGCGCGGCGGTCAGGTCGGCTGTGCGCCCTGGGCGGGGTCTCCTGACGCACAGACTTCTGGGAGGTGGGTCGGCGCGAAGGGCGGGGCCGCACTTTCTGATTCCATGGAACCGAGCTGGCTTGGAATCTAGAATGGATGTGCCACAATTGTTTTTTTTTTGTTGTTGTTTTTTGTTTTTTTTTGTTTTTTACAAAGAGAAGATTCGGAGTTTGTTTTAAGTCGCTTTTTGTAAAGGCAAAGCAAATCTGATGTTCTGTATTATGGTTTCAATTAAGCGTGCTTTTTAGCGTGCTTAGAAGGAAAAAGAAAGTAACATTTGAACATGCTAAGGCCGTGAACTTTAGCCTCATTTAAGCCTCCAATTTACTGACAAGGTCCAGCGCCGAGTGCTAGCCACATTTCTTCCAGCCAATGCTCCATTTTTATTATATTTCACTAAGTAAAACTTTGAGCACCAACCATGTGTCAGGCACTGTTTAACAGAGGTTTGTGGATATAACAGAACAAAACTACCTTGAATAAAATATTACAAACGATAAACACAACAGGTAAGTAAGAATATTCCAAATGATAAACACTACAGGTGAGTAAGATAATAGAGTAAAAGGTGGTTGAGTGCAACTCTAGATGTTCTGCTTAGGGAAGGTCTCTGAGGAAGTGACATTTAGAATGAGCATGGTGGTGCATGCCTCTTGAGGCTAAGGCAGGAGGGTTGTTGAGAGCTGCAGGCCTTTCTGGACTACATAACGGGTTCCAGTCCAGTTTGGTATACGGAGTGAATCCTTCCATGTATTAACAAATGGGCTGGGGAGCTGGCTTAGTAAGAGGGCTTGCTGATAATGCATAAATAGGGGCCTCAGTCCTGGAACCTTGTATCCACATATTTTTTTGGTCCATGGCTACAGGAGGGTTAGTCTATAACCCTAGCATCGTGGAAGGCAGAGACAATACATTTGTGGGGCTTTCTGGCCAGCTGCTTAACACCAGGTCCAGTTCTCACTGGATTGTTTTAAGGATATGAGACAGGATACTTGGCAAGAGTCCCCTAGACTGCAGGGGTGAGCATCACCCACACCTGTGTGGACACCTACATAGATGGGGACACACACAGGTAAGCCTCCCACAAAACAGGAACAAAAAAGCTGTAGGCCCCGGGGAATGTCTTCATAATACCTTTAGAAAACCGGATACAAAGGATTGAAGATAAGGCTTATTGGTAGAAGAATGCCTAAAATGCAAGAAGCTCTGGGTTCAGTCTCTAGGACCACAGCAATGGCAGACTATACATTTCAGATTTGTGCACTTTTTTAAAGCCATACTTTAATTAGAAATACGATCACTCAGGACTGGTGAGATGACTGGTTCAGCAAGTAAAGGTGCTTATCACCAAGCCTGACTACGGAAGCTCCATCCCTGGAGCCCACATGGTGGAAGGAGGACGCTAACTCTTGTAAGTTGTCTTGTGACCTCCAGAAGTGTCCTGTGGCACACACAGGCATGCCTGCCCTCACCTGTCTATCCCCCACAGCACACGAAGATTATACGGTTAGGCAGGAGAGTGGATTATTATATATGTGCAATAGTGGTAAGAGTCAACCAGAAGGGTACTGCCGAGGCCACACAGTGACCTTCTGTGAGCTTTAGATGCTTTTGCCGAGACTACAAAACTCAATTAAAATCTCCCAAGTTTTCAATATTAATGCATGGGTGAGACAGAGCAAATTTACAGAGGGCACCCAGACTTAGCATCTCAGGCTTCCTTTATTTTGTACTTATAGATCATCTGGGAAATTTGCTAGAAATCACTCTGGCTAGTAGGACTGGGGTGATACCTGGGATCCTATCTGTTGTGGACCAATAAAATGTAATCCTAGAATTAAGGTGAACATTGAAGTTAATCCCAATACTCAGGAGACAGAGGCAGGAGGATCTCTTAGTTGAGGCCAGCTTGGTCTAAAGAGTGAAACACTGTTTTCAAAAAACAACAACAAAAAAGTCATTTGTAGAGTCAGGCATGGTGGCATATGCTACCTTTATTTATATTTATTTATTTATTTTGGTGTTTTGAGACAGGGTCTTTCTACATAGCCCTGGCTGTCCTGGAACTCACTATGAAGACCAGGCAGTCCTGGAATTCACAGATCTACCTGCCTCTGCCTCCTGAATGCTGGAATTAAAGATGTGTGCCACTATGCCAGATTGGCACATACCTTTAATTCCTATACTTGGAAGGTAGAGGCAGGTGGATCTCTGTGTAGAGAGAGTTTGAGGCTAATCTGGTCTACATATTGAGTTCCAAATCTGCCAAGCCTACAAACTTAGATCCTGTCTCAAAGTACAAACACAAGGGCTGGAGGGATGGCTCAGATTTTGAGTACTGGCTGCTCTTCCAGAGGACCTGAGTTTAATTCCCAGCAACCACATATTAGCTCACAACCATCTTTAATAGAATCAAATGCCCTCTGATGGCATTCAGGCATGCATACAGGCAAAATACTGTATACATAATAAATTAATCTTAAAAACAAACAAACCAACAACAACAAGCCAGGTGGTAGTGGCACAGGCCTTTAATCCCAGCAGAGGATCTTTGTGAGTTCCAGGCCAGCCTGGTCTATAGAGCTAGTACCAGGACAGCTAGAGAAGCCCTGTTTCAAAAAAAAAAAAAAAACCCAAAAAACAACAGGGCACACCTTTAATCCCAGCACTCGGGAGGCAGAGGCAGGTGGATCTCTGTGAGTTCCAGGCCAGCTTGGTCTCCAGAGCGAGTGCCAGGATAGACTCCAAAGCTTCACAGAGAAACCCTGTCTTGAAAAACCAAAAAAGAGAGAGAGAGAGAGAAAGAAAGAAAGAAAGAGAAAGAGAAAAAAGAAAGATGAGGCTGGGCAAAAAAAAGAAAACAAAGAAAAATAATTTGGTAAGCACCACATACATACCTGTAATCCCAGGGTTTGGTAATTTGAGGTAGAAAGAGCAGTTGAAGGGTAACTTTGACTACAAAGCAAGTCAAAGTCAGCATAGGCTACAAGAGAGCAGAATCATTTGTCAAGATTTGATATTCACAGTGCCCAGTCCCTCTTCTCTAATTTTCTATTGCTTTTCCCCTAGTGTTTCTCATGGTGATCACTGTATTAACTTCCTAATCATGTTCCATTGCCTGCAGGCTTTACCCAGTACAGTGCATGGAGTACATGGTGCCACACATGTTTTCCTAAAGGAATATGCCATTATCTGACATGGCCTAAAGGACCTTTTTTTTTTTTTTTTTTTTTTTTTAAGAAACAGGGTATACCCCAGTTCCCAATTACCAGTCTAAACTAAACTGACTGACTGCTTAATATCCTCCCTTGACTCTTCTTCCTTCCTTCTTTCCTTCCCCTCACTCCTCTGTTTTTTTTTTTTTAAGATTTATTTGTTTATTATATATATAATGCACTGCTATATCTCATTACAGATGGCTTTGAGCCACCATGTGGTTGCTGGGAATTGAACACAGGCCCTCTAGGAAAGCAGCCACTGTTCTTTTTTGTTTGTTTGTTTTGTTTTGTTTTTCGAGACAGGGTTTCTCTGTGTAGCTTTAGAGACAATCCTGGCACTTGCTTTGTAGACCAGGCTGGCCTCGAACTCACAGAGATCAGACTGCCTCTGCCTCCCGAGTGCTGGGATTAAAAGCGTGCACTACCAACACCTGGCTTAGCCACTATTCTTAAGCCATCTCTCCAGCCCTTTTTTTGAGACAGGGTTTCACTGTAGCTTTGAAGCCTGTCCTGGAACTCGCTCTGTAGACCAGGCTGGCCTCAAGCTCACAGAGATCTGCCTGCCTCTGCCTCCCGAATGCTGGGATTAAAGGCATATGCCATCATCAACAGACATGTTTTGCTGTTTTTGAGAAAAGATCTCACTTAGGAAGCCCTAGCTATCATAGAACTTGCTTTGTAAATCAGGCTTACCTGGAACTCAAAGAGATCCTCCTGCCTCTACCTTCTAAGTTTTGGGATTAAAGGTATATACATTACTGTTGTGCCGCAGTCATAAGGATCCCCAAAGAGACCAGGGAGACAGACCACCGATAGAAATGCACGAGGTTTATTAAATTGTCTATCCTACTGAGGGAGGGACCCCGTCTAGCAAGCTGACAAAGCAGCTTCTAGAGGGGGTGAAGTTTCCTGTCTACTGCTAGGTTATAAAGACAAAAGTTACAGGATTGCATCAGTAGGTAGGGGTTGGTTTCTGATTGGTTGACATTTCAGAACAATCTGGAAAATTTCTCAAAGTCATATTTTGGCATGAAATACCTGTGTACCAGGTACTCTCATTGGTCAGTGATGAGAGGGAACATTCTGTGGTTTCTATGGCTTTGTCTTGTTACTTGTAGGTGGCCTGTTGTTCATAGATACCAATAGTTGTCAGAACTGTATCCTGGAGACTATAGGGGAGGTTTTGGTCTCCCCTGGAGTTTCTTTTGTAGCCAAACAGTTCCCAGGAACCAAGTACCTCGGAGACTGAGGGGGTAGGGGGAAGGTCTGGAGTTTCTTTGTGTTCAGTTTTGGGCCTAGGTCTGGGAGGCCAGAGGATCTGGAGTTTCCTTGTGTTACAGGCCTTCGTGCCTTTTCTGTAGCCTGTCATGGCTGCTAAAGCAAGGGCTGGTCCCTTGATTCCTAGAAGTGAAGCCTTTTAGTTTAGTTTACCCCTTTCAATTACATCTAGCTCATTCTTTAAAAAAGCATTTTGTTGCCGGGTGTTGGTGGTGCATGCCTTTAATCCCTGCACTTGGGAGGCAGAGACAGGTGGATCTCTGAGTTCGAGGCCAGCCTGGTCTACAAAGCAAATGCCAGGATTGGCTCTAAAGCTACACAGAGAAACCCTATCTCG